AACATATTTTTTTGTAGTTGCAATGGACCTTTATTTTACTTATTTATATGTGGTGCTGAGAATTGAACCCAGTGCCTCACATAGGCTAGGCAAGGGCTCTACTACTGAGCTACAGCCCCAGCCCTTTTTCTAGGTTTTTAAGGAGAAGTTAAGATTGTTAAAGTTTTCCTCTTCAATTATAGGCATATGCAAATTTCCCTATAAGTACAGATTTGGTGGTTTCACACAAATCCTGTTGTTTTTTATTTTTATTCTGCTTAAAATATATTCTAGCTTTCCTTTAGTTTAGTCTTTGTTCTATAAGTTACTTAGAGTGTATTTTTTAGTTTTCAAATATTTGGGGATTTCTCAGACACCTTTCCCATATTTACTTCAAATTTAGTTCCATTGTGATCAGAGAACAAACTCTGCATCACTAACACCTTTCTAAATTATTGAGAGTTGATTTATGATCCAGAATATTATCTATCTTGATAAATATCCAATATCTGATTGGAGTGTAAATTCTAATGTTATTGTGATTAGGCCATAAATGTCAATTTAATTGATGGTGTAGTTTAAATTTTGTGAGTCTTTGCTGGTTTTCTGTCTACTTGGTTTTCCACTTACTGAGAGAAGGGTACTCAAATCTCTGTGAGTGTGGACTCGTAGTTATATTTCTCCTTGTAGTTATTACATTTTTTGTCTCATGTACTTTGAAGCTTTGTGATTAGTGACATTAAATCAAGAATTTTTATTATTTTTTAATTGATAGTTTTAATATGAAATGACTTCTTTATCTTTAATCCTTTTCCTTCCTCTGAAATCTATCTTGTCTCATATAGCCACTGTGGCCTGTGGCAAACTCTAGCATCCCATCCCTTGCATTCAGGGACAAAATCTCGACTGTGAGCTCCTCAAACCAAGGGAAGTAACCAGACTTCAAGGTGTGTCTTAAACACAGAGTGCTTTCAGGTGCGACAGACCTGAACTAGGTGCTGGTGGCCAACAAAAGAGACTGGACCATTGCAGGGGGTGTCTGTGGAGAGGTGTGAAGGAAACGCCCTCTCTGGGCCTTGTGATGCACCACAATTGAGCGTGGGGACATGAGGAGGCATCCTGCATCAGTTTGGGAAACCTCTCCAGGGGGCTGGGCATATCCTTCCGTTCTCCAACCAGACTGACTCTCCTGGCCTCCAGGTCACGGGCCCCTTCCCTATGGACCTGACAGATGGGGATGCTTTGTGATGTCCCAGCCCTTCCCCCTCCTCGGCAGGCTTAGGGGTGTGGCCTGGGGTGGGACTTGCTGAGCCAACAAAGCCCAAGGGTGTGGCCACCTGTTGTCCTGGGGACCATAAATAGAGGGAGCTCAGCGGCCTGGACAGACTACCTGGAGGTGCTGGTCCAGAAACACGGGCAGGAGACCCATGGCATCCATTCCCCACTGTGCAAAATCCAACTCTGGCAGCAAAGCGGGCCAAAAGAAGACGTGCATACATCATCGAACCAAGTACAAGAAAAGCAAGGTGAGCTGAGCCACCCAAGTCCTGCTCTTCTGCCCCTGGACTGCCCTCCCTACCTCCCCCTGCACAAAGCCCCTGTTGCCACCCTCCTCCACGTCTGCCCCCAAACCAGTGCCCCTCTGTGATCTCCTTGTTGTCCTTCCAGGGCCGAAAGATGACAAGAAAGTCTAGAAAGCCCCTTCGAGGGCGTTGTAGGAACAAAGAAGCTGCCAGAGCTCGGACCACCGCAGCTGACAGCAATAAGAGAGGAGCAACCCGAGGCAGCCGCCGTCTCCCGCTGAGGAAGAAGGTCCACCGTCGAGCCTGAGGGGGACGACCAGAGCCTGGAAAGTAGCTGCTGAGGTCGCTGCAGTGAGGACCTGTAACACCAGCGAGGCCTGAGACCTCAGAACCTTCCCTGAAGCCTCCACAGGTCTGGCCACAGAGATTGTGAAAATAAAATCAGCTTCTCTGGCGTGTGTGTGTGTGTGTGTGTGTGTCTGTGTGTCCTCTGACGGTGGGGGACAGAGGAGCAAGGGGAGGTTGGTGTGTGGGAAGAGGGAGGTGGGTCCTTTGGGGCTGTGGGTCTTCCAACAGGGCCACAGAACCAGACGTGGAGCATGAGGACAGATGGGCGCTGAGCACTGAAGAGTCATTTCCTCCACACAGGTTTACCAGGAAGGAGGGC